TACAAAAGCTATAAATCCATGCTTCAGGCTTTTGGTGCAGATACTGAGCAGAACAATGAAAAACGAGTCCCAACTGGAAATCCTCCAAAAGCCTCATGTTAATGAAAATTAAGTCCATGAAATCAAGTGCTCAGAAGTCATCAAAGTCAAAAATCATCAAAGGTTTGTTGAACTCTGAACCAGAATGTTAACTCTGCCACAGTGTATATCCTGTATATTGTATGAAATGGATTCAACACTCTGCTAATGATCAAAACAGGGACACACAAAACATACATGTGCACCAGAGCAGAATTAAACACCCAACAGAAGTAATTTCCAGAAGTTCCTGACTTGACTGCTTGATTAGAACCCTAACACTGCAATAATGCTAAGCTTCTCATATCCTTTCCCTGATTATTGGCAGTGTCAAGTGATGCAAGGCTGTGTTCAGCCTTCAATGCAGGTATTTATAAAAAACATTACAGAAACAGTCTCACCTGCGTGCAAGAATTCCAGCTGGAATAGAAGAGGGGAGTGCTGAGATGGATATATTTGTTCCCAAACTCTCACAGCACATGCGCGCATGCACACGGCACCCCCACTAAAATAAAGTTATTTTTGGACAGAAACAGAGCCTAAGAAATTTCATACCAAAAAGGAATCTGAGTAAAGTTATGAGTAATTTAAGAAAGGGTTAGTTAAGTCTAACACTGACTTAATTACAGTAGTCAGACCCAGTAACTACTACACATATTCCCATAGCTGTGCTATTCTGTTAGAACCTGAACTTCTGAGTCCTGGGAAAATATGCATTGAGACATTTCCAGGGTGGACTGATTTAAATCAGCATTTGTATTTCAGCTATTTTCTAAAGAAAGATGCACTCATTAGCTGATATACCCATTTAAACACCTTGACTTACAACTAAATAGACACTTTACAGTAGATTTGGTACATCTGTTTGCTACCTAGAAGTGTACACCATAACTATATTTTCAGATTCTTATTAACCAAACACTTGTAGTATGTTAGAAAATGGTGAACGATATATTGCTTATTTACTAGATAATTAACTTTTTGCTCATGTTTTGTGTCAACCTGCATTAGAATGGTAACTGGAATTTAAACAAACAAAACAGTATAAAAATGTATTTGTATTAGACAAGACAACCTTAAATGTTTTAGACACAAACTTCTCTTATCAAAAGATGCTTCACATTGACAATTAAATAATTTATTCAATAGAGGAATTAACTGTAGTCAGTGAATTAAACTGATTATTTCAGGTTGGTCTGGGAAAATTTTCAAATATGCCTAAGTGAAAGTAACTGGGGCTTAAATTTCTAGTCTCGCTTATGTCTCTTGAAAAGAAGACAATCTCCTAAATTACCTAGGCTAACCAACTGTACCATATTTTTGAAACTTGACCTCAAAAGTTAGATGCTTTCCCTGACTCTTTCTTTATATAGAAATGAAGCCTTTAATTCAAAGGGGTTTTTTTGTTTGTTTTTTGTTTTTTAAGAGAGGGTCATGGATTCAGCATATTTATTTGTTATTTAAATGTCTTATTATAATCTTCTAAGTTTAGGCCTCAACATATTTTGTGTTAAATTCTGATTTCATTTTAAACTGGCTCATTTTTAAAAAAGAAAAACTTACAAGTAACAAAAAATTTTAAAAAGGAATTTTATTTAATTTTTAAAAGTCTTCCAATTTTTATCTACCCTGGATCTTTCTGTAATTATGACATCACTGTGGCTATCCTAGTCCCACACCCAGCACTTTCAAGCAGCTGGTATATTCGTTTGCAGTGCTCCGCTGCCCGGGGGCAACCCTAGACCCCCACTCTCAGTGACTGCAGGGTCGAGGCACAGCTCCTTGATGAGATGAGCTTGGAGGGCTATGTCAGAACACGGGTCAGTTTTTCAGCATTTCAGTTCTTTGCTATCCCCCTTTTTAGGCCCACCCTAACACGGGGGATTAGCAACCAATGTGAGGTGCCCCTAGGCAAGAAACCTACGAGTAAAAGGATGCTAACAGCTGTCTACTCTAACAGGAGAGTTTGGGAAATGGAGGGGGAGGAAAGGAAGGGTTACATCTCAGGAACATTCAGAGGAAGTTTACAGCATCCAATGGACTAAACTATGTCATGTCCAGTCCTCAAAGCAATATGAAGACTACTAAATGTTACAGGAGAACAACACCTTCCCTCCCACCCCCCGGACACTTTATCTGACTCTCCCCAGATGCCCTTTGGGAGCAAGAGGTTCAGGGAAACACCAGCTGCTCATCCCATTCCTTTCACTCAACTCCTACCTGCTGAGCACGCAGCAGAGCAGTCCTCCTGTACATGTAATCTTCTGATTTGATCATGTACACCAGGGGTCGGCAATCTCTGGCACACGGCTTGCCAGGGTAAGC